CTGTTTTTGTGTGCTGCTCGAGATGGGTTTGGTGTGATGTCTACTCCGACATCACGCATGTCCACCTCGACATGACACATTGTGTCCTGCCTTTGTATTACCAACTTATTACGACTGTAACCAGATCTAAATCTTGTAAGCAGGGCGTTACCACTGTAACTTGCTTAGTTACCATTACATAGTTACCCAGTTCCTGGACGCGTTATGTGCTTCTGTAATTGTGTTAATGTTGGTAGAATTACCGACATTATGTTAGGTAAAAGGACACAAGTGCAACTAATGTGACATTTTATTGTAGCAACGTTTCGCTCCCCAGGAGCTTCGGAGAGTGAAACGTTGCTTGTGTAATTGTTTTCGACAACCGCCTGCTCTATGGTGCGGGATGCATAACAAAACTTTAAAATTAGTCTGGCGTGATCTTGTGTCATCTCTCAGCGTATATACACTGCGGAATGTATTTTTCTTAACTTATATAGCTTAATCCTTTTTTTTTCAGGATAAAAAACCATTCATGATGTTAGCGTACCATTTAAATTCGGCATTGATCACCTGCGTGTCCGCCGGGTGCGCCGGGTGCGCCGGGTGCGCCGGGTGCGCCGGGTGCGCCGGGTGCGCCGGGTGCGCCGGGTGCGCCGGGTGCGCCGAGTACGCCGGGTCGCCGGAAGTACCGGCGAACCTACATGAATGACCTGCGTGTCGTCACTAGGCCTTAGATCCCATGAAATAAATTCCCCCCTCACAGGAATGCTGAACGTCAATTATTTGCATCTTAATAGACAAGAAAATGTTACAGGAATAAACATTCTATGTCAAAGAATATACTGAGAGATGCTTACTGCCTGAAGAGGACAGGAAATATTATCGAGATACTGTAAGAGATAATTACTTAGATAATTAATTCCACTACCTAATTGTTTCTAATCGCTAAATATACTTTAATATGCAATAATCGCGAACAAACGTTACAAGATATAAAATAACCACAGGGGAAGTTGAATGATTGCAACACGAAAGGCCTAGAGCTATCATTAAACTCCCCCTGTGGTCGTTTTTGTATACTTTAATATCTAAAATGGTTAGAAATTAAAGTAAACTCGGTGAGTGTAAACTGAGAAATAGTGTACAGGAGGGCCCCGCTTATACAGCAGGTTAGGTTCTGGGCTTCCACTGTGAAACTAAAATAGCTGTAAAGTGAAACAGATTTTTTTTTTCACTTTCAAATGCATATAAAAGCCTGATATGGGTCTGTTTACCCTGTGATAGGATTACATATCTATAGCTTATCTCTTATTTAAAAATGAAATTCTATAGAATAGCTAAGAGATTCTCTATCAAGTATTGACCTCAACAGATGCTTATGCTGTCAATTTCAATAAAAATACGAGAATGAAACAGGATTTCTATGTGTAAAATACAGGTTTCCTAGAAACTGGATGACAACTTTGTTAATTCGGCTGAAACAAGAGATTTTCACATCTAAAAATCAACCATTATTATTAGTATTATTATTAATTTTAAGTTTATTCTCATTGTTATTATTATTATTCATTGGGAAGCACTAAACACGTATGGAGTCACACAGTCCCTATAAAATGGGAAGTAATCACATTTGCAATGAGGAAGAGTGGAACAGTTCCAATTCCTTGGATCTAGAGCCCTTCTTCAGCAGCAAGGCATCCCCCGTTAATAAAAAAAAAAGCTACTGCAATTCCCAATAGAAAGTAAAGAAAAATAATCTTAATGGCTTGATTTTCCATCTATAATTATCATAATAATATTAATAATAACTGGATGCATCAGACCGACGCGGCCATTTGAATGGAATCGATAATTAGTGTATAAGTATTGTGTATAATTTTACAGAGTATTATTATATTATTATATTATAATCAAGGGGGAAGCGCTAAACCCGGAGGATTATACAACGCCTGGGGCGGGGATGTGGAAGGCATTCAGGCTTAATTCGGGGAACTGGAGCACAGATCCAATTCCCTAAATCAAGAGCCCCTCACCAACATCAAGGAACCTTCCTTGAGGGGTTTTACAGAGTAAAGTAATGAATTACACTTTCGCCGCCATTATATCATTCAGATTACTTTACAACAGCGGCAAGTGAGTGATGTTATTTTGTCTTATTATTGCGTTAAGTCATTATCTTGAGAGGAGCATTACTAAATATTCCTTTTTATTTATCTCGTTCTCTTCCTTTCCGTACCCCTCCTTTTCCTATTCTTTTTCCCTTTCCTTTTTTCCTTGCCCCTTTCCTATTTCTTCCTCCTTTTCATTTTCTCCTCGTTTCCTTTTCCTTTCACTCTTACCTTTTACTTTCACCCTTACCTTTTCTCGTTTCTTTTTTTTTCTCTTTTCCTTTTCCTACCTTTATTAGTTTTCTCCTCTTACTGTTCCATGCTGTACTTCATCATTTTCCAGTGTTAGTCATGTGTAATATACCTCCCACTTACTTCATCTTACGTTTGCTTGTCGTTCTGCCTGTAATTATAGGGGCTGGAATCAGATTAATTACTAGAGAATGCCTTTTCTGATCGGCTTCAAACTTTTACCATTGGTGGGCTTAATTAAAACACAGCCTGTCCCTCTGGAACGTGTAGATTTCAATTTGCTTATTGTGTGTACTGCTGCTGCTACTGCTGCTGCTGTTGCTGCCGCTGCTGCTGTTGTTGTTGTTGTTACTGCTACTGTTGCTGCTGTTGTTGTTGCTGTTGCTGCTACTGTTGCTGCTGTTGTTGTTGCTGTTGCTGCTGTTGCTGAAGCTGCAGCCTCACATCATTCAAGGTTATGAAGTTCAGCAATATGTCTCCACGCTGAGGGACTGACCACCTCAGACTACTCCTTGAGGATTGATAGACTAACCACGTTATGTTTACCTCTCCATTGCTTCTGCTGTTTCCATATTTGCCACCTCTGTACTCGCCTGTTTGTGGTTACAGGAGTCAAGTCACAGCTCTTGGCCCTGCCTATTCGACTGATAAAGCCTACTGTGTAGGCAAAACGTTAAGGAAAAAAGATATTGAACTTCTGTGTTTTACTTATCTACTTGTTGCTATTGTATACCATTGTTTCAATGATAAGTCGCAAGGCATAAGGAATGATAAAGCTTACTGAAGATCTTTTGAGCCAAATAATAATAATAATAATAATCTGCATTTCTACACGTACATGATACAGATCTAGCTAACATAACTGGGGTACTAAATAGAAAATCCCTTTCAATACAGAGAATTTCGGGCAGCTTAGATTTAATTGTGTTCCCCAGGATGCGACCCACACCAGCTGACTAACACCCTGGTAACTACTTACTGCTAGGTGACCATAGGCAGCAGATGTAAGGAAACATCTCTGACATTCATTGTGCGAGATGAGGATGCTAAATATAGCATTACCACTTTTTTTTTGCGTGTGACCTAATTCTTGTGTGCATAAATAACTTATTACGATTGTGACCAGATACAAACTTGTAAATAGTTCATTACCACTGTAACTTGCTCAACTATCAAAGCTTTGCGGCCCAGTCCCTGGACCCATTATGTATCTTCATAATTTTTTGACTACCGTTCGCAGGATGGATGTGGGGTGCATAATAAACACATTCACCTAACTACCAACCAGACTGCCTCCTGTTCCTCCTCAAGATGATTATAACGAGTTTCTATTTCCTTTTCTGTAAAGCACATATCACTCTGGAGCCTATATACATACATACATACATACATACATACATACATACATACATACATACATACATACATACACACACACACACACACACACACACACATATATATAATATATATATATATATATATATATATATATAATATATATATATATATATATTATATATATATTGTCGTGCCGAATAGGCAGAACTTGCGATCTTGGCTTAAATAGCAACGTTCATCTTGCCTATATATATAGGACAAGTGAAAATTTGTGTATGCAATAATTTCGTCAAAATCATTCTGAACTTAACGAAAAAAATATATTTCACTGTGTTTGTTTAGTATTTAATTATTGTAAACAAATCTAAAATATATTTAGCTGGGTTAGGCTAAAATAAATTGCTCTTGTTATAATAAGGTTAAGTAAGTTTTCTAAGATTCTTTTGGTGCAAAATTAAAAAAAAAATTACATTAACATTAATGAAAAAAATATATCTTTAAACGTATAAAAGAAAATTTCAGAAAAGACTTAATTTTAAATGAGTTCTTGCTAATTGACCAGTTTTACATATTCGGCACGACATATATATATATATATATATATATATATATATATAATATATATATATATATATATAAGTATATAATATATATATATAATATAATATATATAATAATATATAATATATATATATATATAATATATATATATATATATAAATATAAATATATATATATATATATATATATATATAATATTTATATTATATATATATATATAATATATATATATGTATATGTATATATATATTATATATATATATATATATATATATATATATATATATATATATATATATATATAATATATAATATATATGAATACTGCGTGAGGCATCGCATTTCACTAAATCGATCAACATGTGGCTGACTTTGGTCTTAGAAGCCATAAGAATGTAAGCCTTGAATCACTTGTGCTTTTTAGCACAATTCGGTAGCCTGTCTACCTCGCGATTAGTATATGGAGAATCGAGCTGAATGAATTATACGTACTTTAGGTCTCTCATCAAGTAAATACAAAAAAAAACATCCTTGATTAATTAAATTGTTGGAGTTGATAACAGTGGTGCACCTTCACACACCTCGGGGAATTTAGTGGAAAACAGTTATATTGCTATAAGACGGTTCAATGCTCAGATGCCTAATTATATTATTACTGCTACTACCAGAGATATTAATGATAGTTAAAATCAAATTAATAATAATAATAACAATAAATAACAATAATATAATAGAGGAAGCTAAAGTGAAGAAACTGACCTTGAGGTCGTGCCGAGGAGGGCAGCGGGAAGAACAACACCAGTGGCGTTATACACAACACAACCAACATTGTGTCCTTTGAGGTAACAGCGCCACAAACACATATCCACTTTTTCCGCGACATAGCACCGCATCAATCACTTTCAATAGAACACTTACATCGTTCTGTTACCTATTTACGAATAAGAAACGAGTATTTTTTGAGGACTTTCTGGTGATGCTGGAGCGGCAGCATCAGCAGGCTGATGGAGGCAAATTGTAATGGAGACAGGGAGATCTATCTCTAAGCACTGGCTAGGGTGGAGTGACCCAGTGGAGGTGGCGTAGAAAGCTATATTGATGGGGGATGTAGGTCGGTCTAGCCACTAGGAAGGGTCTAGGGCAGAGGATTGCATCTTGTCCTCGCTTAGGAACCAGATAACCAAGAGGAAAAGTAAACTTTTGTCCCGAAGGGCGAGTTTATTGGGTAGTGGAATGTGATCAGATTAATGAATTCAGAGACAACTGACTCAGAAATGTTAAAGAAATGTCAAAGCATTTTATCCAGTGTTATATTACCAACCATTCAGGAAAAATACCCTGACTTTGTAAATAATGCATAACTACCTGTGTGTGTGACCTAATTCATATCTGCATAAATAACTCACTACGACTGTAACCAGATATAAACAAATAAACAGTTCATTACCATTATAACTTGTTCAGCTGCCAAAATTTGCGTCCAGACCCAAGACCTCTGTAATATTTTGACTACCACCCACAGGATGAGTATCAGGCGCATAATAGGATATTAAAATGACTATCATTCACAATTTGGGTGACCAGTAAGGCATTTGACAGGGTCCCACATCAAAGACTATTGAAGAAAATTAAGGCACATAAAATAGGAGGAGAAATTTTTTCCTGGATAGAGGCTATGGTTGACAATTAAACAGCAGAGAGTTTGCATAAATGGCGAGAAATCTGAGTGGGGAAGCGTCACGAGCGATGTTCCAAAGGTGTCAGTGTTGGGCCCCTTATTGTTCACAATCTACATAAACAACATAGATGAGGGCATAAAGAGCGACAGAAGCAAGCTTGCCGATGACACCAAAATAGGCCGTCGAATTCATTCTGACGAGTACATTAGAGCGCTCCAGGAAGATTTGAATAGACTGATGCAGTGGTCGGAGAAGTGGCAGATGCAGTTTAATATAGACAAATGCAAAGTTCTAAACATTGGACAGGAAAATAACCATGCCACATATAAACTAAACAATGTAGATCTTAATACTACGGATTGCGAAAAGGATTTGGGGGTTCTGGTTAGCAGTAATCTAAAACCATGACAACAGTGCATAAGTGTTCGTAATAAAGCGAACAGAATCCTTGGCTTCATATCAAGAAGCATAAATAATAGGAGTCCTCAGGTTGTTCTTCAACTCTTTATATCCTTGGTTAGGCCTCAGATTATGCTGCACAGTTTTGGTCACCGTATTACAGATTGGATATAAATTCTCTGAAAAAGCGTACAAAGGAGGAGGACAAAGTAATTCCCATGTATCAGAAATCTTCCCTGTGAGGATAGACTGAAGGCCCTGAATCTGTACTCTCTAGAAAGGCGTAGAATTAGGGGGATATGATTGAGGTGTATAAATGGAAAACAGGAATAAATGGAGGGGGATGTAAATAGCGTGCTGAAAATATCTAGCCTAGACAGGACTCACAGCAATGGTTTCAAGTTGGAAAAATTCAGATCAGGAAGGATATAGGAAAGCACTGGTTTGGTAATAGAGCTGTGGATGAGTGGACCACCTCCCGAGTACAGTTATAGAGGCTAAAACGTTGTGTAGTTTTAAAATAGGTTAGATAAATACATGAGTGGGTGTGGGTGGGTGTGAGTTGGACCCGATTAGCTTGTGCTACTAGGTCAGTTGCCGCGTTCCTTCCTTAAGTGAATGTGACCTGACCTGACTAGGTTGAGGCATTGGCTTAAGCCGGTAGGAGACTTGGACCTGCCCCGCATGGGCCAGTAGGCCTGCTGCAGTGTTCTTTATGTTGTTATACTGCTATAAGTAAAGGTAGAAAGTATACGAGTAACAATACGGACAATATTAATGGAAGGACGCCATACACTCAGTGCTTCTGTCTTCATGGGATGTGTTTCGGTCCTGGGACCTCGGTTACTCAAAATAATCATTTACAATATCTATCACAAAGGCAGTAACTGCCATGAAGACTACTTGTCAGCTAATATAATTGACACATAGTAGGCAATTAACAGCTCCATTATTGGCTGTTTCAACATTCATATCACTAATCTTACAAATTACTATTATCTAATGAATTTGATCTTCCCTTTCTTGAATTAAACCTGATAGCCTCCTAATCTCCAGGTACTAGATAATCCCTACGGATTTAACACTTCCTCCCAATACAATACAATCCTAGTTGCAACGTGCTTAGGTTGTCAATAAATGCTCCGGGATTTACTTAATGATCACGTACTCCGTTAAATACTAATATATAGCCTAAGAGAGAGTTTATACTTCTCTTTGCACGCTTTATATTGCTGACTAATGTTCAAACAGTGCTTTTAAATAAATTAACAGACTTTCAGTGTTACTCCAACATGACTAGCGGCCCGCATGGGTCAGTAGTACATAACTGAGCTGATCAATGACTCTCAATACCTCCATTAATCGCATTCCTCCATTAGTCGCATTCCTCCAGTAGTCGCATTCCTCCATTAGTCGCATTCCTCCATTAGTCGCATTCCTCCATTAATCGCATTCCTCCATTAGTCACATTCCTCCATTAGTCGCATTCCTCCATTGGTCGTATTCCTCCATTAGTCGCATTCCTCCATTAGTCGTATTCCTCCATTAGTCGCATTTCTCCATTAGTCGTATTCCTCCATTAGTCGCATTTCTCCATTAGTCACATTCCCCCATTAGTCGCATAGTTACTCGAGTTGAACAGTTTATTACAGTACATCAGTACTCCCAAGTTGTGCTGTAAATGACCTCAGACTGTCTACTTTGTCTATCATGTTCCTGAAAGCTTATGAAGCGAAGAGTATTCTTGAGAAGAATACATTGTCACTACAAATTACAACTAAAATACACTTAAGTTTTTGAAATGTTTCAGAGAGATATATACACGAAGTGTATCTCTCTCATTGTATATACACTGGGTGTTTACTTCAGTCCATCTTTTTATGTATATCACCTTAATTTTTAAAGAGGTGGACTGGTCAGCCAGCGGAAGGCCTCGGTCAGGTGACCAAAAGCTCCAGCTGCGGGTCAGGAAACCATTGTCCTGTTTTCTGACTAATCTACCCCTCCTTTTTAGTGATTAAAGTATACACAACTGTTGGTGTACAGTTTACTTGCAGCCTCATAGATCGCGTGGTAACTAATATCCCGATTTTCGCAGTTTCTTTAATAAAACTGGTAAACTGGGACTCAGCCCAAGATTAATGCGAACCTTCCCCTGAGACAGCCACACCAACACTGAGCATGACGCTCGGACGAGGCTTGAACAAAGTAATGTACGGAAAACAATAATCCCAATTTTTATAACTGTTATTAAATTGAAAATATTGTACCTAGACAGCCTAAACACATTGTAAATCTTCCTTTAAAATGAATGTATCGGGCGAATAAATTTTAAGAAGTTTAGAAAATGCGTTTTAGGAGTATTGTACGAAAAAAAAATTGTTTTTAAAATTGTCAAAATGGGACTTACTCCACTAGCGACCCAGAATTTCTTCTACGTGTCAAATTAAAGCATGGAAACTATTTCACTATTTGCATGGATAAAATTAGAAAGTTGGCAACTAACCAGCCTAATAACAATCCGAACCTTCCTCTAAGATGCACACCCGGGGAAAGTTTGGAGCCGATCAGAAGAGGTGTTCTCAAGTTATCACATAAAAACCTTAGAGGAAGAAGAAAAATCAGATAAACACGTTAAGTATTCCCATTTGGAATATAAAAAAAAATTATGAAAAAATAAATACACACACAGACCACTGAATCCAGCAAGGATAAGTCAGCGGTCGCTGCTGCCAAGGTCCACTAGTGACAGTTTACTGAGTACAGCGGTTGATACTGCCCTGGTTTACCATAGTGACAGTCAGAACAACGAATCCTGCACCGCGTCATGAGTCAGCAGTGACATCTAGAATAAAGATTCTTTGAGAAGCAGGACACGTGGACAAGCAGATACAGTTGGAATTTAAAGATATTAATGATTCAGGGGGAAGTATTTCCTCAACCTTTCAGTGGTCAGGAAGTGGAATGACCTGGACGAGAAAAGTATTGTAGGCCAGCTTCATACGTAGGTTTGAGGAAGACACGGTATGGCCCATGAGGCTAGACGGAAGTGAATCTGCCAAGCTGTAAGTTAAGGGGCGGGGATGACAAGGTCAATGAACAGCCCCACAAGTCAGAAACAAGATTTCCAAAGCGAGGTGAGGGAAGGGCCACAATTTAATAGAAAATTTGAAAGTGCCAATATTTTCTAAAAGAGTGAGGGGGCAAAGAGGCCTACCGGGAGGCATCGTGTTGCCACTAACGATCATAAATGCAAAAATAACAACAGAGTGGTGTTACTTTGTAATTTGTTCATGATTGTAACCATGTATAGAAGTGTAGATGGTTCATTACTTGTGTAACTTGCCATGACTGACCAGATCTACCTGGAGTTCATTACCGTTATAACTAGTTCAGCTATCATAACTTTGGGGTCCAGTCCCTGGACCCATTATGTACCTCTGTAATCTTCTGACTACCGCCCACAGACAGTAATACGATACAGCGGGATCATCGACACCATGCCCAGCCCTTCTAGGGCAGGGTAGGTGCCTGAGCCAGAGCTTTCAGCTCACAAGACTGTCATTCCCATTAGCCCCCTTTGGGCGGGGATGGCAGACCAGAGAGGCCTAGCTTCTCCCCACGAGCCCCGTGAGGGCGGGGAATGTGGCTAGGCCTGGGGACAGTTGGTCCCAGAGATGAAGGGTACGATCGACACCATGCCCAGCCCTTCTAGGGCAGGGTTGGTGCCTGAGCCCGAGCTTGTAGCTCACAAGATGAGGGGGTACTTGTGCCTCCTCCCATGGAAGACTTAGGTCTGAGACACTCCCTAGACAGGGAGAGCCAGTGCCGGGCCACCACTTGCAAAAGGCCCGGGCCGGGAGAATACCGGCGAATCTTTAACAACAACAACCGCCCACAGGATGGGTATTGGGTGCATAATAAAGATATTAAACTAAACTAACCTTTCACCTGTTGCCTCGTTCACCTAACAAGCAAGCAGGTCCCTGGGTGTTAGTCGCCTGGTGTGGGCTGCATCCTGGGGGACAAGATGAGAGTAAGACACCAATGGAAATAAGACAGTCCCTGGATGACGCACTGCCTTTCTTGTGTTATCCTGGATGGCTAATCCTCCGGGGTTACAAAACCAAATGAAATTTTATCTTATGTCCCCAAAATGAAAGGAATGAGAGCAAAGACATTATAGATTAAGGGGTTGTCAGCAAAGGAAGCATAGAGCGAGTGAGAAAACAACAAATAAAAGAAACAAAACAAAAAACAAGAGCAGTAGGCATCCGTCTGGGTATGTGCTGTGCCCACAGATAAGTTTTGTGTACAAAACTTATCTGTCGAGCGGAGTGCATATGAGATGAGTTAAATAATTAGAATATCTGCCAAAAATTTGGAAGGATCCCT